AGCAGAAAATGCTATTAATTAGATTATTATTTTTCTCATTTGCAACTGATGCTAGCAAAAATACAAGAAGCATTCAGAAACACACAACATTAAAAACATCCTTAATCAGGTGTAACGCCTACACAAAACTATTAATCCTAACAAACCAATAACCCTGACATCAACACAAAGTACTTGCCAGTTTTACAAATGTGACTGGTAGAACTGTTATAGCCTAGGAGAAAATGTTTCAAAACATCTATGTGACTTAGCAAATTATGAACTACATTTAAACATAACAAGCATTCTTGCCATGTAAATTACACTGCTTAGCAAGGAAACCTAGGAATCTAAGTGTTTAAAATATGAGTGTCATAGCTCATTTTGACACTCAAAAAAATTACCGCGAATCTTTCACTTTTTGCCAGCAATATTATTTTTAATTTTTTAAAAATATTATATCTACATTTAATATTATACATTTAGTTATATGCATTCATAAGGAAGCTAAGTAACTCCTTAAACGTGATTTTTTTCTGGCTTAAGTAGAGTTTGATTTTCTGTATTTAAAACCAAAGCTTTTTATTTCTACATTTTCATATAATATAAAAAGCTGAACAAAGGAAACAACGGTGGAGTTGCCACAGAATACTGACTTCCATAGTACCCTAAAAAGTGACTTAATCTCTGATTATCAAACCCTATATTCTGAAATCTTAACTTGAAAACTTCATCTTACAACTATAAATTAAGAGAAATAGGATTCAACATTCACAGAAAACCCATCCTTCTTCAGGAATAAACTATTGTTTTGAACTTCTAAACGAACATCTCTGACACCACTACAAGACAGTTGTTTCTGAAAGTGACACAAAGCCTTTGTTAACCAAGCATTTCAGGCAGTATTTATCCTCTCCCCTTGTTTAAGAATTTCCTCTCATTTCCAGTCCTGATAATACTATTGTTCTCTCTCTTTTGCTAACATTTCAGAGATAAAACAATCAGGATTTATTGATTGGTAGAGGTGAAAAAGAATGTATTACCTGCAAACACAATGGAATGTAGATCTCAAATTAATTTTATTAGGAAATTTCTTGCAGCAGATTAAGAGACTAAGTCCATACAAACTTGCAATAATTTAAGAATTTATCAACAGATTATGAAATAAATCTAATGAAACTCATTGGCTGTTTTTGTCCTTTCAATTGAAACTTAAGCTAGTTCCACCAAATAATTATAACAAAACCACAAGTGATTTTTAAAGGAACTGGATCAAAGGAACCAGAACTTGCACAAGATTATCTCAGCTTGTCTAACCTGTTACACTTGAAAATCAAGTATGTAAAATGATGACTATGTTTACTTCATTTTACAGGATTTTCCCCAGAATAATCCTGCCATGATATATGAGATATACTACCCAAGAGTTACTCCCTCTATTTTTTTCTCATTATTACTTCATGTTGGAGGATCAATTACAAGAACTGTAAATAGAAGCCTTAAGAAGATCTCTCATGCATTAAAACAGTGTTCCCAGGGAAAATTCTCATACGTTGAAGTAATTCAGAAAAGAGCTGCAAATGTTACTATGCTGAAATACATCTACCCTGCTGTATTGTGATTTGTCTTGTCCATAGAAAACATGTTGCTATACAGCCTCACTTTCTGTACTTTAGACCTGCTTGGAGCCATAAGATCACTTTTCTTTATTGTTTAGTAAGTGTTTTTTTAATGAAATGTACTGCTTTTATTATGTAGGACTCAAAATAAGATCTAAATCACAATTCAATAAAAGAAAATTATTGAGTTGGATATCTAAAGTTACTTCCCAGAGGCTACTCTGGTACAGTATTTATAAATCTCTAAACTGTTAAGTATAATTGTCTTTCTGTTTTTTGGGAAGAAAGCCAAATAGCAGTTTTAGTTACAACTGAAGAAAAATACATTGTGTCAGGCCCTGTTCATCTAGTGAGTAAAGCAACATCAGTCAATAGATGCTACTTGAAGAAAGGATGGCAAGGGATGAGGGAAAGAAGAATTACTGGAGCTCTCCCAACAGAACTGCCAAGGCAGAGCCCATCCCAGACACAGTCTTCTGGGGTATTTTGGAAAAATGTTATAGCTAGGGAGCACAAATGCCTAACATGTATCTAATATTCTTCTGGGCTTCTCTCCAAAATACTTCTTGAGAAAATAACCTCACTTTGTATTTGAGGGGACAGAATGAGAATCAGGACGGATCAAGGGACAATAAAAATAAATTTCCAGTACCTGAGGGGGACTTTTTTCTCCATCACAAACATACCTCTTTACTAACCTTTCTATGAAGACAATCACTTAACATCTGTAAGAGGAACTGCAAGATAAAAACTGCACTTCCATTGTCACAAATAAGACATCTGACTGAGTTTATGAGACATTTTGTGAAGAGGTGGGCCAAGCTCTGATTTTACAATGTTTTGTATTTCACATGCTGAGATATTTTAAAGAAAGCAATAGTTTGCTGTAGCTTCAGTGGGATACACTTTGGTCTTTCTGTCCTCGGAGTCTACGTCTCCTAAAGGCAAAAAACAGCCTTGATGATTTCCAAAATCTCATTTTCAGGACGTTAGCCTGCATCTCTAACCCCTAATGAGCTGCCCAGTCAGCCTGAAACTTTCAATACAGCCAGCCAGGAGAATACTTTCATCATGAGAGCTTCCAACAGCACAGGTCCAATTTGAAAGTGTTTCTTGTTCTTTTTGAGTAGAGCTACACATTTAATGGAAAGCAGACTATCAAATCCTTCCAGAACAGTTAGTAAGCTTTTCTTTCCCAGGAAGGTACCTTGTTTCCATCCACACTTGTGTTTCTCAGGCTGTTTAAATATTTTGTTTTGTTTCTTCTCCCTGTCTCAGGTCAACTGACATTCTTCCACACACCCAGATTTTCTAATGTCAGTGTTTCCTATGATCAGTAATAGAAGTCAGATAAAAGAAGTGCACACAACACTCTTACAAGGGATGGTGTTGGATAGGAATGCCTTAATTCAAAATTATACACTCAGATCTAGAAATATTCAGATTAGCAACATTTAAGGTTCATACCAGCTAATGGCTTAAGAATACATAAGTCAAATACTATATAAATGTGTACCATTTCTATAAAGCAAAAATAAAATGACAGCTTACTCCGTAAGTAAAGGTACTTATCTGCTAGTAAGGAACTGTGAGGTGGCTCTAGTATGCTTGCTGGCTGTTGACCAGCAAAAGTTGAATCACCTGGTTTGTATAATTATCATGATAATTATGCTGGAAGGGAGGCCAGCAGATCTCTGGTTTGACTTTATGCTCAAAGCACATTCAGCTATGAGGTCAGATTAAGTTCTTCAGGGCTTTATGCAGTCAGTTCTTGAGTATTTCCAAGGATGAAGAGAAAAAAAATGTCAGGTGTTGATGAGGTGCGTAAGACTATGACATTGCTAGGTTTTTCCATTTTCATTCAGAGATAGTCTAAGATCCAGTGTGCTCCCAGAAGTAAAATATAACAGCCAATGCTGGAAATATCACTAATATCTAAGCAAAGGCAGAAGAAGGAAATTCTCTCAGACTGCTCATGATCAAGAAGAGAAAGTAAGGAAAGAAGTGAAACAGATTCTAGACCCACCGAAGAATAACAAATAACCCAGTAGTGAAAGTACAAATTTGGTTTTGAGATGCAAAATTCCAAATTCAAGGTCTAAGTGAGTATATAGAAAAAAACTATCATAGTGTGAGCAAGTCAGATTCACAAATTCTTAAGTAAAACATTTGGGATTACATTGCATCCAGGTCACAGATTTGAAACGTCAAACACCCATAGGACTGAAAAAACACTTTCTTCCTGCACTTCTCTAAATCTATTTGCTATCCAGAGAACCATCCAACCTGATGTTGAAAATCTCCAACTTTTAGCTTCCTGTATTAAATTAATTCCAGTATTAAATTCAATTCTTAATGCTGATTCTAAGAATGAGTTTTCCACATTCAAGAAGTTTCCATGCTCAAGGTTACACCCGTGCCTCTGATTTTTGGCTTATAATACCCATTTCCTGGTTAGAGTGTAGAAAGGAAAAATTGAACTTAATCTGAGATCTCACAGTACTTGAGGGAAAACTGTCTCTAAGGTCAGGCTCACAGGAAAATTGCAAACCAAAGCACTATCCTTTCTATACCTACATTTACACCAGGACTAGATCCAGAGGGAATGTTTACTGCACCACTTAATAGGTTTAGCTAAGGTAGACTTCAGCTGATCATAAGTTGCAAGACCCTTTAGGGATGGAAAGATGATTGTTTTTATACTGATGGTCTTTGCCAGGGTGCTTATGACTTCTTTGCAGCTCTTTTGCACAGGCAGTCGGTGTAAAATAGCCTTTGGCTACCTATGAATCAGTCCCTTGCTCTCAGTGAAGACAGGAATTTTCTTCAGTGTCCTTAAACAGGACAAGTGCATGTCTAAGCATAGGAAGAAATCAGCTTTGAGTCAATTCTAAGCGGCTTTTTGAGCATGGAGGCACAGAAACAGTAAAGACAATTTAAAATTCTTGGGTTTTTATTTTACTTTTTGGCTTGCATTAATCAGTTATTTTTCTCTGTGGCTCCAATGTGCTTTTCTTTAAAAGAAATCCCATTAGACAGAGATTTCAGGTATTCCAGTGTGAGTATGAGTTTTCTCTATATAACAGCAACTGCCCTGGTAAGAAAGGCACAGAGCAGGGTAGGGTGAGCAAGCAATGATTTTATATATATTTTTAGGAAAATACAAAACCGAGAAAGAAATGTCTGTTTCATGTTCATTCACTTTTTTTCTGCAAGATGTGCTTTGTGATGTAGCAGAAAAATAATGTGACTGTCCCTTTAAAAGCCATCATACCAATCAGCAGGTTTAACTGTCAAGCAAGCTGATGTAGGGCTCTTTGAATTACTGAGTGAGGGATATTCTTCCTGCCAGGTCCTGTCCCCTGTAGGCACTGTAGAGAAGTATTATAGGGCAGTCCTTACCTTGGGAATTAGCCTGCAAGACCCCAATGCTGTCATCAAACTGCATAGATTTGATGTTGAGTGACGCCAAGATGCATTCCTTGTCCTGCAGCGAAGCATCATCAATATTATTCTGATTGGCTGACAGGATAACGCACATGTCGCAGAGGTTGATGTTGACAGCCCTTAAATCAGCCCGACTTAATGGTGTACCCTTCGGCACAGAGAAAAAAAAAAGGGGAGTGGGGGGAGAGGAGGCAGGAGAGGAAAAAAAAGAGAAACAAATTAAAGATTGAGAAGGAGCTCTGGGAAATTATTTAACAAGTATCTTTTTTATGGTCTGACATTAAGCTGGTCTAACTATGTGCCAGGGAATAGGAGATGTGTGCTAATCTAAAGGGTAGTTGGTGCTGATGGCAGCATCTTAGGTTCAGTCTCAATACTCAGTCAAGCTATCCCTAACAAACAAGAAACAGGAATAATGCCAGCATTCTACATCTCATCGCTGTCTTGATTTAAGCTGCTATCATGTGGCAACCTCTGGCTCTCTCATTATAACATAGGGTGTGTTTTAAATGTTGATTTATCTACCACCAAGTCACAATGGTCTTGGGCAAAATAATTGCAATTTGAACAGGAAAGCATGCCCTGCACATTCGAAATGTAATCAGGATAAAGCTATTTTTTTTTTTTTTCTACCTGAAGCAATACAAAAACAGGTTAATCCTCTTCAATGTGTGTTTTTGGTGCTTCTAGGAGAAAAACACATTGATCTTCAAAGTTGTGTGATTAAACCCTTTGAAACAGAACCAAGACTTAATCTTAATGGATACAACACATGCAACAGTCCCTGCTTCTACAACTCACGATCAATGAATTCAACAATTAAAATGAGATGATATGGTAGTCTGTGGGCTTTTTTCATAGTTAACACAATGAAGACATAATGCTTAACCCATTATGTTTTGTATAAATATATTATTTGTTTATCTTCATATGTATATTTGTATATCTTCATATGAAGATATTTGTGTATCTTCGTAATACTTATACACATGCCTTCCACATCAACTGACCATATCACTAGTTACAAAATATTAAGTCTATGTCACAGGGGCTGCAAGGTCCAGGAAAAGAAAAGGATTTCTTAATGCAAACTAGATTCTGCTCTGCTGTCTCACATTGTTTGTACCCAAAGACTGTAATGATGATGGGAAGAGTAAGCTGTCCTGTTGTCACACAGCAACTTTCATAAAACCCTATCCTTCCCTTTCCTGATCAGTTACAGTGAAAGTCTCTTAAACTCTGCTGAGAACATTAAATGCAAAGATTAATTTCACATGCACAAAGTGAAAACAGAGCTCAGTTCTTATTTAGTGACTGCTACCTAGTTTCAGATACCAGCATGACTGTTTCTTTCAATAATTTGAGGCATGAAACCTTGTGGAAAACAGTACATATCAAGCAGACATCATTTGGTTATAAAGTCCTCAAAAGTTAGGATATGATTATTCCTGCCACCTTAATTCTGCTCTTTGATGTCTGTACTGTGTACCAAGTGAAGCAGGATTCCTGTGGGGAAAAATAACATGCAATCATGTAATTAATTAAAGGCTTACTCCTAATGATTTTATGCAAAGGGTCAGTATTAAGGCTGCCTGAGGTTATTTTAAATTGGCATTTGCCTACTTTTTAAGAGTTCACTCAGCAGATTAAATGTTTCTTTAAACACATACTCTAAATAAAGTTTCCATTATTTCTTTATATTCAGCTGTAACTACATCACCATCAGATACCAGCATTAAGTTTTACCTCATGAACCAAATGACAGGGAAGTAGGAAATGAGTTTAAGCGACCTTCCTTTAACATAATTCCTACCAGTATGAAATTAGACTTTGGCAGATTTTCAAATTAGTATAATTACATCAGAATAATGCTGATATTTTTAACTCTGTATCACCATTTTGAACCAGATAGGCTGAATTAAAAAAAGAAAAAGCAGTAATGAACTCTGTGTAGTTTTCAGCACCCTTGATTATTGCCTCAGATACAATTGTTTTACAGATTCTTTATTTTAAAAGGTACATTATCTATTCAATCTGTTTAACTTGAAATGAGTCCAAAACTACTCTAACTGACTAGAGAATGTAAAGGTGGTGTACATTTCCTCAATGCCTCTTCAGAATTCAGAATAAAAACTTTACAATTATGCTTTATAATAATGAATACACTTTATATACTGGATAGTTTGGAAGTACTAGCTGGATTTTCTGCACCACAGTTCAACAGTATTATTAACTTAATTCTGATTCCTTAGTCTTTAGCCTTCACAGTGACTGGAATTAAAAGGGATTGGCACGAAGAGGAGAATATTAACTGACCAAATCTGATATTGACACTATTTTTGTAACAGCAGCGAATCTTGTGACACCATCTGTTGGATCAGTTTACAGAAAAAAGCCAAGGGCTAACACTAAAACTGCATTTATAGTAACAAAGACCTACAGCCTGAATTAATCAGAAAGTTAAGGCAGTCTTCCCATTCTATAGCTATTTTCCTGATTTTTCAGTTTAGGTTACATCCATCATTGATTTATTTATTTTTAACTACTGAAATGTAATTATTAAGAACTAGTAAATTCAATTTTTTTCATTTTTGTAAACATATCCAAACTTACCTTACTCTGTAATATACAGAGCATTCTCTTCCTTACATGGGCTCATTTCCCTCCTGCCTACATCTTTTTGCATCATTTATAGCTATGACCACCTAAGATCACTAGCTTGGAGGGCTTCATTTGCTTGTGTTGGAGCTCATGTTTCTAAATTCTGGGCACATAAGTGAATTATAATGATATCTAGGATAAAAAGGACCTCTGAATTGTGGTTTCAGTGGTTTTCCCTACTAAAATCAATAGGAGCTTTTCACCAGTTTCAAATGGGTCAGGGTTTTGCTGTACTTCCATACAAGAGTATGGCAGGACTCTGAGCTGAAATGCTATGGCAATGTTCCTTATAAAGCAGGAATTTTTTAGGAATATAGATAGATATTTTGCAGATAGAGTAACAATAATTTTTTTCAAAGGTTTTGTGGATATAAATACATAAATAATATAATAAATAACTACTATTCCTTCTGCCAGGGAAATCACATCAGAACTGACTACATGCAGTGCGCTACAGTGAATGTTCGATATGTAACACAGCAATACATTTGATAGCATCTGAAATTCATCTGATGAGGATGATGAGAAACCCAAGACTGTGGCAAATATCTTCTAATAAGGTCTCACAGGGCTCTATTTTCATAGACACAGTAAAGGGAAAATCTAAGTCCTCAGGCCTATAAGTAGAGAAAAGTAAAAAAGCCTAAGATCAAAGTCAATATGAATCTGTCCAGTTGGTGTCCTAAATAAAAAATATCAGTAATATGGCTTTGGACTTACAGGCAAGATTGAAACCTTGGGGAAGTTATGCAGTGTCTCCCATTCTCTTCTCAGGTATTCAAGCGAACCCACAAATACAATATGCTTGAGTTCATGGTAGTGAAAGTTGCTGGCTCGTAATGGCATCACTAAATTTCTTAATCCAATCAAAGCAGATTTAACATCCCCAAATATGCAAACGACTACATGCCCACTTAAAACTGTCATTGCTGCTTCACTTCGAGTCTAAAAAACAAAACAAAACAAAACAACATGGGAGAACTGAAACAAAGGGAAGCTTAAATATTATATTGAGATTTAAACCAGGAATAACATAACTGTCAATATTGTTCATGCACAGAGAAGTGGTTTAATGACAGTTGCTCATTTTACCCTTACTTATCCTTCATTAAACGTGCTAAGAAGAAAATTTCACTTCTGTTTGCAAATCATTCAGTGTTTGCGAAGACACTATACTGGACCAAATTCTGGTCCTGCATATACTTCTACACGTTGATAAAGACTCTAGTTGCAATCAAAGTACTATGTATTTAGCTCAGAACAGAATTTGATCAACTATGCATTTAGCTATTAGAAAAAGTATAGAAAAGAGAGGCAAACCCATGCCTTAGTTGATGAATCACTAGTAGATTTTTTCCAGGACCAATTTGAAAAGGGAAATATGAGTGCCCAATGGACCCAGTAGGGCTTTCTGGTATTACACATAAGTTGTGCACTGAGGAGCGTGTTCTCTTAGAGTGTCCTAGAGTTCTTATCTTAGGACAAGCTGCTACTGTCCTGAGAAGTAATTCAAGAATGCTCTACAGTGCTCTGCCCACCATACTCAACAGGGCTTATCTCAGTAAGAAAAAAACCAGTGTGCAAGATTGCAACTAACTTTTCAAACCCACTGGACTTTCTGAGCTGTTGAATAGATGGAAGGAAAAAAGTCTCATGAAGAACATTTGAATGATGTTCAGAATTATCTTCTTGTGACAAGAATAAATTTTTGCGCTAATTTCGTCAGTGGTAATGTCAGTTGAGCAGGCAATTCAAACACCAAGATGATTAAATAAAGTCATTAGGAAAAAAATGACCTTAATTTCTGGAGCCAGTCTTAGTATTGCTGCACTCCATCAAGTAGCTCCAGATCCACTGATACCATATTGCCAAGAACTCATACACCCCATACCATTACAAAGAAGTTTTGCCAATGAATAAAACTAAAACAATAGTGAAATGCAAAATGTTCCCCTCACTTATCCATATATGATATGTCATTTTTCTAAATAAGGAAGCATGACAATGTACAGATTGGAATATGTAGCAGAGGTGTTCACTATGTAAGAAGAATGAGAACTCTGACTAGTCTTCTCATCACTTAAAAATACATGAGCTTTCAATTTCGCTGGGGCAATTACACTGATTTTCATGTAACTCTACCAGGAGAGTGGTCTTAGACCTTCAAACAGCAGAACACGAGTCAGTGCTCAAGTAAAGCATGTAAATGGTTTTATGCCTCTGCCTATAATACTCAGAAATTGTAAGGCAGAGACCAACTAAGTCTTGAAAGAAACTAAAAAATGCCACTCTCTAGTAATTGACCAGGGTGTAGCTACATACATTTGACTGTACATCAAAAAAAGTTCTTACTACTTGGTACTGCTAGAATCTCCTAGAGCCAAAACAGATCTTGGGCAGAAAAAATATTTCTGATTGAGACATCATCAAGTATCAATTATGTACTAATCTGCACTTGGGTGTCTATATTGGTGTTGATGTCGGAAGCAGAGAGAACATGGCAAGATTCACAGGCTATTAGGGGAAAAAACTGATATGACATCACCAATAGATGATAAATGAGGCTCTCCACAGCACCATTTTGGAGAAACACTTTTCAAAGTGGGACATGTAAAAGTTGTCTGCTAAAATGTGTTTAGAACCTGAAGGCAGATTTCTCTCTCTCTCAGATTTCTCTTACAAAGCACTGTACAGCAGGGCTGCCCCTCTTTATATGAATACATACAAATGCACACTATTTAAAGATGCTCAGCCAAGCTCCATCTCATATCTCAGTCTCCAGAATTTGGAATTGACTTGCTTAACTGTTTAAGCATCGATACTGCAATTCCAGGCAATGTCATGGTTATTACAAAAACCTGTGAGGAGAAGTGGAGACAAGCTTTTAACCCCTGATTGCTAGAACAAAACAGGGCTGTCACCATCACTGGCTACACTATGCCACAGTGCAGGAAAATCTGAGAGAGCAAGCTCAGGAAAAGCTTTATGAAGCGTGACAAAGTGAAGATCCACCAGGGAGTTCATTTCAGTTATCATCAGTTTTGCATATGAGATCTGGAGTTAGTTACTTGTTACTCTTAGGTATGAACACAAGTGGCACAAACTTTCACCGAGCAAAATAGACTGTGAAAGACCTTATAATTATTTTTAATGACTTGAGTCAGTTTGACGGTTTCCCCTGTTAAACAAATAAACGAACATAGACTAGGCTCACTGCAACATGCTAGAAAGGCAGAGTAGTAGTACCTACTTACTCTGGCCTGTTTGGGCATCTTGCTCTGTTAGAAATTGAGAGAAGTTCTAAGAGACCAAAATTCACATAAATAAATAAGAGATAGTGCAAAGCAACACTTGCCTGTATTAGAATCATTACTGCCTTGTGTAAAGATATAAATGGGGCATTTAAACACTGAAATATTTCCAATCTTAATTCTCTAAAGATTTCAACTCAATATGCAATTTTCAGTTTATGAAAAAGTAATTGTCTATTTTTGACCAATTTTTATATTTGCCCTTGGCATACAGATCTATATAATTACAATTCCTTAACCAAAAGTCTAGTTTCAATTTCTCCACACTGTGTTTCTGATTTTAATACACTAGATGTAATTATAGTAGATAATAACTTATAAATCCATTACATACCCATTCTATGGTTCAAATAACCTCTCTTCAAACACAATTTATCATCAATACCTACCAAAATGACCTTTTCAATGTCCTTGGCTGGACACCAATGAAACATCCCTGTAGAGTCATATTTTTTCACATTGGCATCCATATTGTCAATCTGCTCGTTGCCAGGAATTAACAAGGGGTCATGCCTGGGGAAAAAAAAGTTGAGGACAACATAAATGGAAAATATTATGAATTATGGATGGAAAGATATCCCAAGAGCTGTGTACAAAGGGGGATGAAAGTAAAAAAAAAAACCAAACAACAAAAGTATTTACATTTCAACATGCTTTCAAGGCAGGTACTATTAAACAAACCCAGGGGGGGGGAACAAAAAAGGTAATTTTAAAATTTGGGGTTTTGTAGATTTTCCTATACTCTTTCTACATCAATAATGAAATAATTTTAAACAGGGATTTCTGGCACCATCACATCCATAAAAGTGTGGGTTGTTTTGGTGTTTTTTTTTTTCATTCCAGTCCTTTCCCTCCCCAAAATAAATATCGGAGTTGCTATTAGGATCTGCAATGAAGTAGAAGGGATAGGAAGAGAGCCCCATGCTGACTGACTGGCATAAGTATGGAAAGCCAATTACTTGCTTTTACCACATACAATTTCTGACGTGATGCTCTTCGCAGTAAAAGCTTTAACAGGCTGCACTTTAAATATTTTAGCAATTTGCCCAATCGTGTTTTGCTTTCCCAAACTGAAGCCCTTTAAAGATTCAACAGTATGTCATTTTAGAGCAGACTGATGAACAAATGCCCACATCTGGAATACATGATTTTAATACCAAACAACAATGTCCATTTTTTCTGACAACTCTACCTGTGATAACCTTCTAAGTGTTTTTTTTTGCAGTGAGATTTTAAAGTACAAGGTTTCTCAAAGGAGAAGCAAATAAAAGACATTGTTATAAATGTGCTCTCTAACAATACAGTTACATCTAAGCACAGGCACATACAGTTCTTCAAGAAGTTTTATGCTAAACTCAAGCATTAAGGTAAGTTGTAAATAATTCCAGCACTCTCAGATGCCAGTGAGGACACTCTAATTGATCACATTATAGAACAGCACTAGGAGGACTGTGTTTATAAGGCACAGGGTAAACTGACCATAAAATCTTAAATTCATGAAGGGAACAGAGCTTTCTTTGTCTGGCAAAATTACAGTCTTGTCTTAAGGTTTTTGTCACGAATTCTTGAACTATCCTGATACAGAATTGTAATATTTCAAAGAAGAAAATATTTGCAATGTAGGAATATGCTAAGTAATCTGAGACAGGTAGCCAAATTTTGAAGAAATTGCTTTTTGAAGCCTAAAGCAGTGCCCATATTGGCTGAACTCTCAAAACTGGAAAGTTTCCTGCTTTTAAAGCATGTGATCCAGCAGGCTGTGGTAAGAACCCCTCTTCTGCATTGTCCATTAAAGTAGACTTGGAACAATCTTCATTATATAGGTTGATTTACCCTTATATATTATGATAAGTTGTCATGCTTAAAACAGTTATGCTTGCATGCATAAGAAAAGTCCAACCTCTATACCATCAGGGTGATTAATCTGTGGAGTTGTATAGCCACTGATTATATAGCCATTGAAATCAGTGGAAAATTCTCATTCATTTCACTCAAGCATGGTCATCTCCCTTGAAAGTGGCTTAAAAGAATTAGAGAAACTACTAATACAATGTTCCATTTAAACCAGAATCTTTTGATGCTTAAGAAAAAGCCATGCTCCACATAGCAAGAGTGTAATCAGGCACATCTGGAAAAAGAAACACTATGTTTTCAAAGTTTTTTACATTCCCTCAGCAGATACACTGTTCAGTGCATTTACTATCAACCCACTGGCAGAAGAGGAGTCTCTAGGGAACTACCTGAAGCCTCTGACCATACTCCAGGTTTGGTAATGAAAGGCCTTACATAAGTGTGCTCCCTCTTTTCTGGGAAGTAGAGTGACTTCTTGGTGCAAAATTTGTACTAAAGAGTTTTGTTGTGGGTCTTCTTTGTGTTTTTTTATTTTGGTGTTATTTTTTTTTTAATTTCTAGAAAAATATCTAGACTTTGCAGTTTGTTACTCCATTCATCAGTGACTTGTAGCCATGGTAGTTTTGGCTGAGAGCTAACTGTGATGCTGTCTGCAGGGCATTCCTTGCTGCTCACAGTTGCACGTGGTACAGTAAGGTCTGCAAGCATGGATACAATTCCATTTGAAAGTTGTCCTAATGTTCAGACAACATTTTGCGGTACACTGTCCTACCTATTTTTTCTGATTAAATATTTTAGCTAGGTGTTTTGAAATAAAAAGCTTGCAAACGGTTAGGAATCTTCATGAGCTTCCACTGAGAAAAGTTTTTTTCTTTCTTTCTGTTTTGTGGGGCTTTTTCCTCCTAAACTTTCTTAAGAGTTTGGTTTTTTTTCCCCTAAACTTTCAGAAGACATTTCTTAAGAAGTCTTTCAAAGCACAGCACTGAAACAAAAGCCAAGTTCACTGATCAAATTGCCTCCTTTTTCTTTCAGAAATTAGTTTAATATAGGAAGGAATTTTCCTTTTCTCTGTCCCTTCGTCATAGAAACTATAATGAATCAATTTGTAAAAAAAATGCCACATTCTAATATTCTAATTAGCATTTTTTTTCTGGTCTGAAATGTAAAACTAAATAGATAATCTGAAGCTTTCATGCAAATTAGTATTTAACAAAACTCTAGTTCCAGTCACAGAAATCATACAAACTGAATGCAATCTTACAACAAAACAGGTGATAACAGATATCTGACATCAAATTACGGTCAACTACCTTGAAGTCTAAGGCAATTTTTAGTGTGTGAGTGCTTAAAGCCTAGTGTAGTTCTCTCTTGGGTAAGGTGCCTTGTTACTATAATCAAAGTAGCTTGTACCAAAGATTTATTAGAATTTTACCTCAATACTGTATTTTCTAGTTATCTTAGGTTTAAACAGAAGTGTGCTATGGCAGGGGTGAAGAACTTGAATAATCAGATGTAACTCCCTACTGATGTTTTAGGTAAACAAATACTATTTTAATTATGATTTTTTAAATCTATACATGCACTTATTTGCAATATGATAAATTGCCTGCATCCTCTGTTTCACTGCTTGGAGTACAAGTGGAAGCCCTAAAAGAAGCAAGAGGGATGAGTTATAAAACAAGAAAGTATGCTAACAGATAATATTGTACTATTTTTATTCTATGGATTATTTCCTGAGAAGAAAACCATGATAAGACTAGCCATGCTTTGTATTTCAGAATCTGTGGGTTATTACATGTAAGTGGGTTTATTAAATGTAACCGGGCTAAACTATTATTTTAATCTCTCTTTAACAGATGATTTTTCATTCTCTGTAAAGCAATCACTAAAGATGTCTACATAGGTTGAAAATTGTTTACTAAGGTCCACCTTTGTCTTCGGATGTTAGAAGATATGCTGGTTTATGTACTTAAAAGCTAAACAGATCTTTGGACTTCCTTTTTCTAAAAAAAACAAACAAACATGGCCATTTTATGAAGTAATACAGTAATAAAATAGTACTAATACTACAGACATAGGCATTCTCATTAATCTGGTGATCTAAACCTGTTTTGCAAATACTAAAAATTAATTAATTGAGATATACAGAGGCCAAGGCTGTCAAATCTGCCTAAGGGGTCTGGACACCATCTTCCCATTAAAATTCATATTACACAAAACATTACAGTTGTTGTCCTTACAGCCAAATCATGGACTGAATGTTTCTAGAGCCTCTCTGCCCCCTCAGCCTTGAAGATGGCCCTGCCAAGCTATGCTTGAATCACACTGGCAGGTTACTGTGGGAATGTTTGTATTAGTGCTGCAGCTATTATGTTCTCCAGAGGAGTAAATTCATCTGCTTAAGAAATTCAATTTATAGGACAAAAGCACCTTTTACTGATTAAAATCCATAGTGTTTGATTTAACTGAGATGTTGGCTTTCATCCTTTCAAAGCATTTGGTCAGGTGAGCTAGGAAAAGACAGGTGTGTATATATATGTGTGTGTGTAGACATATGCATAGCATATAGAAAAGGAGCAAAAAAATACATTTCCCTCATTCATAACCCCAATTAAAAAATAGTTTTTCTCGGTCTTATGGCAGATATTACATACACACAACTTAAAATTAAGAGCAAAATACTGTATTTTCAAGGTTCTGAAGAGAATATGATGCCACTTCTGATCAATTAGACTTGGAAACCACCCTAAATGCCAAGCACAGCAGCAACTCAAAAAGCCTGCCTGGAAGATAACAGCCTAAAGCAAAACCATAAAATTCCACTTCCAGCAACCCATTGTGAGAAAGTCAACATTACATTTTAAAGACCACAGCATATTTATAACTATGGCAAACTTATTTACTTGGTGTTTTTGAGCCTGTAACATGTGAGTAATGACTGGGGATTGACAGAACTGAAAAAAAACACACAGGATCAAATGGCTGACCCATTAAATGACTATTGTTTAGCATAGCCTTGCATTCTGTCACCTTTGTCTTAACTCTCCTGCTATCACTCATATGCAATTGACCATTAGAGCAACATATCCTCATCAATCTGCAGTCCAACTCCTCCATATGTAGAGAACTGGGAAAAAGAATACTATATAACCTGTAGGCATTCTGGTATTGTTTGAAAATAAACTGTAATCTGTTAGTCTCTGCAAATCAGTAAAGCAATTTCATGGCTACTTTTTATTCTGCCCTACAATAAAATTCTCCTTTTACAAAATCAATGGCAAAACACCCCTGGAACATCAGAACTCCTCTTCAACCTGTACTTGTTGAAATCTATAATTATGCCTTTCTTAGGTAGATATAATACATGTGGCTTTTGCCCACAAAAAGATGCTTAGCAGTCTCCTGCTCAAGATTTATGGTCTCGCAACTCACCTTGTGTGCAAGCCAGGAGGTTTTTGTTCTCTTAGCTGAATTTGTTCATGGATGTGAATGTGTGTTTGTGAGTGTATGTACACACATACTTAACTTTAGGGTGAAGCAGTAGGTTTGCTGAAGGTAAGATAGAAACTGAAGACACAGCAGAGAATGTCTCATGCCTTTGAAATTTCTCCTACAACTACCCTAACAAATTGTGGCAATTAACATGCTGTTAGTGTTAGATG